TCACGTCTGAGATGCTTCGGCCTCAGCGATAGCCAGACTGCACTCACTGAAACTTTGAGTCAGCTGTTCTGTGGCTTTTCCGTTCCAAAGCCTTTGTGTAAACTCAGTAAGGTAATGGGCCAATATCTGCAGCACTTCCTCTGACTTCCTTTCTTGGACAGGCGTAGGAGCAAACCAGTTCTCTAGTCCAGCAGTGTCCTCCTGAAGTCTTAGCAGTTTTACACACACGTATTTGACTAAAGCTTAACGCATCTTAGGGATAGCCTTAGCGTTTTATCGATTCCAGTGAAATTGCCACTTTTCAAGCATTTTACAGTTTCCGCTACTTCATCAACTCAAAGATTAGTATCCGTCCCCTGGTGCTCTTCAGGCCAATTCCCTATGCGGCTGTTCAGGATAGTTCAGAGTGCTTTTCCATCTCTGAACTATATTCTCCTTCTTAATAAAAAACGTCGTCGAGCGACACCTCCACGACTTCCACACTGCCCTTCTTTCCACCTCAGGTGAGGTGGGTGGTTTGCCAGGATATACCTTGTTTGTTGCATGGAAATTCGACTCCAGCAACTCACCGAACTTCTCCTAAGAATCAACTGTTGCTTCTGTCACTGCTTTAGCTGCCGCTTTGTGCGCCTCCTCGGAGGGCATTTGAGTTGAATGCTCCTTGCCTTCAAGCTACCTTATGAATGCAACCATTTTCTCACCGACAGCTCGATCAGTTTGTTTCTGAACCCCAACAGGTAGACCAATGCGTTTCAAAGTGTAGTATTCAGCACCAGTCCTGAGTAAACAGCTTTAAAAAAAACTTACACTGGGCTTCACAGTCACAAAAGTTGCCTTTTGTTAGCTTCATCCTCTCATCCGCAGAGGATAACGTTGTCCATTTAATTCTCCAGTTCCTTCCAGTGCCAATTCGATCTGTAGCACTCCATCGTTTGCAACCATGCAGGGTGCCGAGAACGACGTGGTGATCGTCTGACAACCTTGTCCCTCTTCTTACGTGAAAGTCCTTACAGAGGGTCGTGATTCAAACAACTCGGGCCATCGAATCTGACTGTTTCTTAGTGGTTGCGAAGTTACGTCACCATCTGCCAACAACTGGAACAATATAATGGGGGGGGGGGCAATGACTGCTTTGATTCAGAGAATTCCTGCACTTTCCAGGTGTTTCAGATGCAGATAAGCAGTAGATTTACCGTCAGAGAAGTCGCTGTCGTGTAGCAAGACCCGAGGCTGCTGCATAACTATCCTACAGAGCGTATCGTTCACACAGTTGCCAAATCTACTGGAAAGTCTATCCAGCAGCCCTGTGTCAAGGCAGACACTGTGAATCTTTGCAGGTCAAGAAATCCGGCGAAGCAAGCGTCCTTACAGGTTCTGGCCACACGAAGCAAAGAAGAGTACTGTCGCCAATG